ACAAGAGTTTGTTGGTGTTGCCATGTTTCTCAGTCCCCTGACGCGGATTCCCGTTTGTCTCCAGATCCTTGGGATTCTTGAATCGCTCTACCATCCAACAACGGCCTCGGATGTAGTAGAGGGCCAGCCGGGATCATATATGAAAAGATGGCACCGATGCGGCCTGATTAATGTGCCCCACGGCTTCGTTGGGCCAGACCCCAGACCCGCCATGTGTCTGGCTACCCCACAATAACAACAGTCGTGAGCCCCAGTGTTCTACCCTGGGTTACTCCTTGGAAGTGTATGTCCACAGAGAGGGTTGTAACATGTATGTTAGGGATAATTAGATGGAAATAATTATCCCATGTTGGGTAGCGGACCCTGTATATGCTAGTTTAATTATTTACGAGTATGTTGAGTAAGTACTGAGTTTGCACTAAGCCCAGGAGTTGAGCCTGGTAGTTATTTGATTAATACAATATCTTTCCCCATTGATTGCATATTAATAAACTTGTTTTTAGAGTACTTTAGGTGTATTCCTTTCTCCCACAGTATTTTACCTTTATTTCCATCCAAGTGACTTGAGACCAGAATTACCATACCCATGTGCCTAGACCCTCGACCATGCTACCAAAAGAATGTCTGTAATGCGACAAAATTTCACATGAAGAGGTAAGTTAGGAGGTTATAGTAGTAGAATATTATAGCGATAGGAAATGGTAGCGTGTCTCGAGGGTGTGATGTCAACACTGTATATTAACACAGGCACAGTACAAGTGTAGTATATAAAACACCAATGCGTGTTACAGCTTTATTTTACTAGGACTTAGGGATAGAAATCCCTTACCAGGCTAATCAGGATCTTAACAAAGGAAAGTCAAGGACCATGGTTTTCCGAGGAATAACAAACAACCGTTAGAGATTGGCATCTCTTTACTATAAAAATATAACACAAAACTCTGACACCACTCAACAAACATCAAATAATTACGGGAGTCAAACAATTAATGGAAGCAACAATTAAAGGAATCAAACAAATAATGGGAGTCAACAATTAATGGATTCAAACAATTAAATGGAGTCAACAATTGATAGAATCGAACAATAAAGGGGAGTCAGCAATTAATGGAATCAAACAATTAAATGGAGTCAACAATTGATGAATCGAACAATAAAGGGAGTCAGCAGTGGAATCAAACAATGAACAAATATTTCTCGGCAGTGGCCCTGGGGGAAGGTTCTGGAACGGTGATGCACACTCCAGGGCAGAGCGTCCATTCACTCCACCCTCATAGCGCGTCTTTGAAAAGAGCAGGGGAGAACACCGGGCACCCGACGGAATGTGATGAACTGATGGTCGTGTGGTATCGCGTTGGTGGTAGATGACCAGAGAGTTGGCAGTTGATAGGTGAAGGTCTGGGAACGCAACCCACAGTCCAGGACCTATGATGAATCACAGCCAATTTGACCGGACAACAGGAGTAGCTAGATACTGACGGTATAGGCTGGGTTGAATCTGCTTTCGTGGGAGATAGTGGCTGCCGTTATCTGCCTCCGTCAACCACCCCAAGTGTCGTCTGCACCAAGCGAGCGAGTTAACTTAGTAACTAGCCGGAGGATCGGCCCTTATAAGGGGGATTAATGGGGGGTTCGATTAACAATTTATGATAGACTATGGTATTCTCAGATAACCTAACCTCACAATTAGAATGGGCACTTCACTAAGTTCCATCGTTGGGGAGGTTCGGGATCACTGCACTCTACCGTCTACACAGCCAAGCACTTACTGTTACAGGTTGAGTTGACAGCACTCTGTCCAGGACCCGGCTGAGACTTCTGGACACTTAGTGGCGTGGCTTCTCTGAGCGGACTGGGGACGTGGTAGCTGGCCTTCTGTTACAAGACACACCTCGTGAGGGAGGGCTAGGACGTCCTATATATTGGAAGACCAGCTGTCAGGTTGAGCTGATCGGGGGGTGGGGGGGCGGCGGCGAAGGGTCTCCTTACATTTGCCCTCGCTAATGTAGGGTCAGTCTGGACTTTTTCAGAGACTAAGTTGTATATTCTGGAGAAATTTTCAGATGGGGCCGTGTGACATGAGAGGCTCCTGGTTATTTAGTCCAGGGTTACATTTGACCTGCTAATGTGAGGTCAGGTCTGGACTTCTTCTGCTGTGTGTAGGTTATTGTAGGGAGAGAGTCGGCCGGTGCCTTCTACATGTTTGTTGGGGTCGTGTGACATGGAGGGGAGCCAGTTGATTTGTAACTCCTGAGTGTTGCGAGGGTACCTTTACATTTGACCTAATGTTGGGTCAAGTCTGGACTGTTTCTGAGATGTGCTGTGGTCTGACAAACCCATCACTACATGTCCATGCTACCAAAAAAGAATAGGATGGAACTGAGTAAGAGTAAGACTAAGAGAAGTAAGTAAGATGAGGGTGGTGTAGATACAGAGAGGAACCTCAAATACAGTGTGCCACAGTACGGTTTTGCCAGGCGCCGACATGAGCAGTGGAAGCACGTGGGTCTGGAGTAATCGCGACATGTGCCTTCTCTCACCTCACTGTTCGGCTGACGTCTCCGGTGAAGGTAGGTTGGTGATATGGAGAGAAGAGAGCATTAGCTCTGAGGGTGCAAGAAGGGTACAGTACAAGGTAAAGTTCAGAAGAAAGAAATATAGGAGGAGGTTGACAGCAGGTGGGCTATCCACCTTGCAGAAACGAGATTTTGTCTTCCATCAACAGTGCTGCATTAGAGGTTGCTGTTGTTGTTGTTGTTGTTGCTGAGATTGTTGGACCGAGATCCGACGCGGGCCTTTGCCTATAGGCGGCCCGTTTGGTGGCCCGCTGGAGCTCCTGGAGCAGCCAGACTGCATTTGGGATGGAGGTTGTCCTACCTGCAGATGTGAAAGGATACTGCAGGTTTGGGTGAGCGACCCTCGGTCAGTGAAGGCTTACCACCAACCCCCACTCTTGGACGGTCAGTTTTGAGTGGCGCTCCCCTGAACTGGGGTCCGCATTTGCTGGGGAGGATACTTTTCTAAGCTATCTGGGTGGGGTATCTATGATAACCCGGAGAAGGTGGTGAATGTGGTTTGTTTAAACAGTGCCGATTTAGACCTGAGGCCCATGGGCAGCTCTTTGGAGGCCCCTCATTATAATTACCCAAGAGGGTGGGGGGGGTGAAGGGAGCCTAAACATCTGGGAGTTCCGGGTGCTGTAAGCCTCCCGGAAAATTCTTTTGAAATTTGAACACGTCTTTGGAGAATTTTAGCCATATGCAGTTATATTGAGGAAATTAGAACATTGAGAATTTTTAATTAACTGTATATTTATTGATAGTGTACAAATTCCCAACACACACACACACACAAAAAAAAGTGAGACATGACTGGAGTCATTCATGTGGTTTCAAGTCGACCAGCCCTGATATAGCTACTACCGCACATGTCAAAATTCAAGAGACTTCACAGAAAAAGACTATATTATGAGTTATTATAGAGAGATGATTCTTTGCATTATTCGTGAATTTCAAGGAGTAGCTAGCCTAATTTCTATCACTCTTCTTGCTGAACATAGTTTTACGTGATGGAATAGATAAACATGAATTTTAAAGAATGAAAATAAAAATAATCCAAATGAATAAACAAATAAATAAAATATTGCAATATGTGGAGGCCGCCAGATTGTGGAGGCCCTTGGGCAGCTGCCCACTTTGCCCACTCCTGAATCCGGCCCTGGTTTGGGCCTTTCAGGTTACAATGGCTGCTGGTGTTGTGTGTTCTTCTAGGAAGTTTCGAATTCTGTTTCTGTTTCGGAGACTTTGTGTATTCGCAGTCGAGGAGATAGTGTTCCAGTGGGTTGGCCGCTGGCTCCTGACAGTAGGTGCATTCCCTGACGACATTTCCAATCTTCTGCCAGGGGCACTGGGGGGTATTTATATGATTCTGCCGGATCAGCTCGAGAGGTGTGAAGTGAGCGGCTCTGCTGATTGACTGGGGTGAAGGCGGTAACGGACCAATCACCGCCCAGTCCGAAAGTGAGACTCATCACATTCGGAACTCGCCGCTGGTTGGCTGGTAAGCGGACGGCAAGTGATCAACCAGCAATTGTAGTTGGGGGGCTGGGCACGGATGTTTGGTTACACTAGGTGGGGATGGAGAAAGGAAACTCACAATGTGCTCTCTGTATACATGTTGTATTGATGTACAATGCAGCTTGGTGTTGGGAAGTGGCAGCGTGGTTACAAGCGTGATGTAGAGAGCTGGTTGGTGAGGATGCTCAGGGAGGACCAGCTTGGGGTCACTATGGTCGCCGGCTGGAGCGAGGACCGCCAGGCAGAGGCGGAGGAGGTGGTGTTGCTTGCTGCGGCTGTAGCTAGAAGAAGAGAGAGGTAGGTCGATACGATACGAAGTCTTTAGTTAAGAGGTGAAAGAAGATTATTAGGAGTTGAAGGAAAAGTGGTGAAACTGAAATACAGTAGGAGTAGAAAGAATCTGGGCTCAACCACGAGGTCAGGTCTTATATAGCGGAGGTAGGCGTGGCTTTATAGTTGACCTCCGTGATGTATGGCGGGCTATTGGCGGCGCTGGTTGACCTAGACCACGAGGCATACACATGGGAATTCGCAGGGTCGGGCATCAGCGACAAACAGCGTTTGTAGGGTAGAAATCCAATTACAGGGTATCCACTACAGGCTAATCCCCGAAAAAAAAATCGCCTTGATGTGCTTACAGAAAGGACAATCTGTAGGTACAGAATATGCAATGCACTATAATATAATTTCATCACCAAATTATATGCAATATTATAAAAATGCTCCCACTGTGAACACATGGGAATTATGCAAGTGACATGCTAAAATTCCTGATTTTAATACACTAATTAAACTACATGCCTATCATGGGTTAGTTAGTTAGTTGGCCTTAGAAACATGAAATAATATTTTAAAGGTCATGATGATTACAATGGAATAATGGTAATATATGTATCCCCTAAACTAATTATTTGTTCGCTCAATAGATGACGCTGTAAGCAGACAACACATGATGGTAGTAACTGGATTATTGGGAACCTTTCCTGTCTCTAGATGGTCTCTGGTGTCAGCCAACAGTGCGTAAATAAAGACGTGAGTGACAACCAAAGCGGCTAACGAGCCCATCAGTGGTGAAGGGGATAAAGGGAAAATTTAAAAACAATATGAATAGCTGACTTTAGCCGAGGTTTAAATGAAAATGTCACATTATGGTAGATATAATGGGACTGACGACCATAATATACTGTAGTGGTGAACGGGAAACTGACAGTTCCAGGTCTCGATAATACATTAATATTAATTCTATAAAATCTTCATTTAGTTTGACAATTGGTTTAACATACATTTATGGGTTTTCCTTTTGGTAACAAGTGTAAACTTGTACAGGGAGAGGAAGCAAAGGAAACGTGTTATTTTTTTTTTGCAATTTTTTTTTTAATTGTTGATTGCTGAATTTTATCCGGGGTCGTATATTATTGTTTCAGTGGCTGTATGGAAGAAGTTACGTTGATTTCTCTAAATTAGGTTGATAGTTGAAGGTGTGTATTTATAATCATGTTTTTGATGCCAGAAATGCCATGCAGTCTTTGATATGAAAGTTTTTGGGGTAATAGAACAAGACAAGGGTTCGGGTTAACCAGAGATACTTATGAAAACTCGGTAAAATTGCAGATTACAGCAACCAAAGAATCTGATAAAAAAATGTTACCTAACCTTACCTTACCTTACCTTACTCCTTACTTAATGTAATATAGAAAATCATTGAAAAATTTGTTCGATCGAATGAGTGTAATGAATTTCCAGTGTAGCCGACCAGAAGTTACCCGGACTAGAAGTGTAATGAAACGACAACTCGCTATTGCTGATGTATATCGACCTCAATATTAAGGCAAGTTGATTTACACATAAATTAACATGATAATGCATAGAACCTAATAGAACCAGACCTAACAAACCCAACCTATTGGGTTTGTTAGGTCAGGTTGTATTAGGTTCTATGCTTTGATAGCATTAATCACATCAAGTATCCTTCAGATACTCTGGTCTGGGTAACTTCTGGTCCGCTACACCAGAATTCTGTGGTTACTGTTTGCTGCAATATTACCATTGTTTGAAATCATTAATTTTTTCTGCAGATGTTCTTATAATTATTGTAGTGGATATTTTGCCGTGACTGGTCTAGTTCCTACTAACGCTATTTTACCGTGAGTGCACTCCGAATAGCTAAATACACCATAACCCCCCCAAAAAAAAAAAGAAACCTAACCTAACCTAACCAATTTTGGGGGAGCCTACCTGCTATTGTGGTGGAGGATACAGTTGGGTGATCTGGTATGCCTATTGTTACAGACAAAAGAGTTTGTCTTTTCTTAAAAGTACAAAATTTTCACTTAAGACAGTCAAGATGTTGGTAGGTCAATCGGATCTTGTAATATTTGGATGCTCTCCACGCTCTCATAAACTCTCTGAATTACAGCTAGATAAGGAGAGAACACTTATCACACGCCAGAGGTGAAAGGCTGCCTCAAATGATCGGGCCAAGTCACATGACACAATACTTGAAGGTCATTGGTTGTCACAGAAAGAGGAGGAGGAGAGGAGAGAAGTGACTGACAATGGCGGTACAGAAATTTGTGATATACTCCATTAATATTGATTTGCACAAGAAATGATATGAAGTCGTATGTTTGCTTTTGAATGGTCTTTGTGTCTGTAATATTGAAAATTGGAAACCTGTAGACAGCCAATGGATAAATACTAACCTGTCCAAGTGCTGCAGAAATATGGTTAGGTATGTTTATAGCTACACAATGATCAACTTACGCCGAAATAAATGGCAAATGCCGCCAGTCATGGTCAAACAGTATAGTTCACGAGTTGTTTGCTGGTCATGAACAATTAGCCACTCGGAATGCACTTGTGGTAAAATAGTGTTAGTAGGAACTAAGGTGGTCAAGGGAAAATATCCACTGCCTATAATTATAGCAATTATTTTGGTTAATTTGTAGTTTCGACCAACCATGGCTCTCGAGTTGATGTGTTTTTCCGATGGTTTAGACAGTTTTAAGACACTTCTATGATGCTTTCTTTGCAAATGACCTAAAATTATCTAACCTACCTCCTAACCAGGTGGCTCCGCCCCCCTCTGGATCCCCCGGTATATTTAAGTCATTTGCATGGGAGCCGTCATAGAAGAAAATTGTCTTAAAATTGTTTAAACCATTGGAAAAACACATTGCTCAACCAAAGAACAGCGTTTGCTCACAACTACAAATTGACCAGTACTTATTATAAAAGAGGAGACACTTTATTTTTAATTATAAGTACGTATGTTTTTTAATTTGGTTAGTTTTCTCTATGATCATAAATCACCTGTAGTAGGCCGGGCATGAAGGATGAGGGAAATTGCAGGGTAATACACTGTGAAAAACTAATGACATAACACTAAAATGATGTCTCTATGTGCTTTGAATGTGAAAAAATTAATTATTTTCCATATATATCCCTAAAAAAAATTTGTTGTGTCAGCTCGTGTTGTTGTCCGCTCCTTTGTCACTGTGCAACAACTGACCTGCTCAGCCTGAGCGTCCTCTCATGTCCACAAAAAAACATAAAATTCCACTATTCCGCTTCAAGAAAGTTACTTTCATTGGTACTGTACCAGATATCAAAGTAAGTATATTCTGTTTAATATGGCAGGCGACCCCCCAGCTAGGAAGTTAGGTAAGGCTAGGTAGGCTACTTTGGTTGGTTAGGTCAGGTTCTCTTAGTGTCTGTGCATTGTCATCTCATTTTTATTACTTACTATCAGTCCAAAGAACATCTGTGGAAAAAATTAACAAAATCAAACAATGCATTAGTGTTATCCATCTGCACCAGGAATATAAAAAAAATACAATTTCTTACCTCAAGAATAAGCAAAATCAGGTGCAGATATTGTGATTTGTGTGTTTTATTTTTTCCATGATTTTTCCTGTAAATAAACACGCTACTCATTGTCTGCTTCACGAAGCCATGTTTGGGCAGTGAGCTAACCAGCCAGTGACTAATCAACTTTCCTTTCAGTACAAATCTACCAAACCAAATTTAAGATAACCAAACCTGCCTGAATGTGCGCTCCCTTGAGGAGCGTAAAGTGATGGCCGATATGATAGAGGTGTATAAATTGAAGTCAGGGTTAAACAAAGGTCATATAATAATGGTAACTACACTATCTAACCAGGTGCTTAAAACATAGTTATGGTTTTAAATTATACAAATTTAGATTTAGGCATGAGATAGGTAAACATTGGTTTGGAAATAAGAGTTGTGGTTGAATGGAACAAATTATTACCGAACACCAGCATTAACTCGAAAGAACTGGGAAGCTTCAAATTTAGATTGGAGAGATATATGAGTGATATGAGTTGGGTGTAAACTGGACTACTTAGTATGGGCCAATGCACCTACCGTAGTTTCCGCCATTCTTATGTTCTTACCAAACCTACCCTAGATTAATGTAATAAACTTCCATTCTAGGATAGGTAGGTAGGTTTTTGGTTCATCTTGTCGATAATAAATCCTATTACAGTATAATGTAAGAATTAATGTTTGCTGAAAGTATTCACGTGTATAGAAAGGATGACACCATTGCTACTGTGTATCGCCAAACTTGTAATACTGTACAGTGATATGACGGAACTTGCAGATTCTTGCGATATATTTATTCCTCTTTATGTAAGAAGGAATAATTTATCAGCATTGTGTATACAGCTCCTCCCTGACTTATGACGGGGTTAGGGACAGAAATCCAGGTCGTAGGTCGAAAATCCTTAAATAATACATAGAAAATCTAAAATGGGTGTCTCTTTTTCTTCTCAGCACCACGAAAATCTCACTTTTAAGCTTGCCAGCCATTTTAAAGTGAATTATAAACGAAAATTTTGTCAGTACGTACACAGCGCAATCACTGACGTTGGGACTCGAAAATACGTACTGTAATTTGACAAAATTTTGGGACGACTGAGCCGGTCATATTTCCGGGTGGTACAGGTTGACAACCCTTTATCCGAAATTCCGAAAACCGAAAAGCTTTGAAAACCGAAAGTTTTTTTTTTTGTATTAGCCCACCCGGGCACAGGTCACTGACCTACATCAGGGCCTGGGAGGTGAAAATGTAATAGTAATAATAATTATAATAATAATAATAGTAATAATAATAATGATGATAATACAGTAATAATAATAATAATTCATAGTAAATATAATTTTTAAGAAAAAAACACACAAAAATAAAATAAGAATGATGATAATAATAATAATACTGTAATAATTAAATAATAATAATAATAATAATAATAATAAAGAAATACAAGAATGAAAAAAAGATCAAAAGTGAGAAACATGACCTAGACCTTTGAATCATTACTGTATTATTATTATTGTTAGTATTATTATTATTATTATAATTATTATTATTATATTTTATCCCCCAGGCCCCAATGTGGGTCAGTGACCTGTGCCCACGGGTGGGGCTGATCCTGTAAAAAAAAAAATTCTGAAATCCGAAAATTCAAAAACCCTTGTCTCGCTCTGGTCCCAAGATTTGGGATGAGGATTGTCCTTACTTTGTGAAATCACAGGTAGATAAACCAAGTGGGAACTGTATGTATATATATATACAGTATATATATATATATATATATATATATATATATATATATATATATATATATATATATATATATATATATATATATATATATATATATATATATATATATATATATATATACTCTCTTTCTCTTTTATATATATATATATATATATATACACACACCTGAGCCCATTTGACTTACGACTACGTGGACTTACGACCGTCGGGACTTATGACCGCCTCAGATATAGATTAAAAAAAAAATTTTTAATGACACGCATTTTCTATACCGAAACGTTTCCAGTTAATGTAGTCTCCATGTATAATTAGAAAATTATGGGGGCCCCATGTGCATTCAGCTGACTACATTAAAGGTTAAGTGCTCAGTCACACTGTATCCATTCCTTATTATTTATTACTTTCACTGTACTGTATCAATTCATCATTATTCATTACT